AAAGAGGATCGACCGGCTGCCGAAGGGAAGCGTTAAAGGCGAGTTCCATGGAAGCCGTGAAATCCCCGCGGCGAGGGGATTCCTGTTACGAAAGAGAAAGGCGGGAGGACGGCGCGAGGAGCAATCGTCCCGTTTTCAAAGGACAACGCCCGGCCCTGTAACCGGCGACGAAAGAAAACCGATCGTTACAGAACGACCGCGCGGCAGGCAAACTTTCCGGGTACACGTAATTAACTCTGTTATTCGGAAATTGGACAGATGGAACTTCTCCGGGAAGTTTGGCCAGCGGCCGATTTATTCGTGACACGTGCTACTTACAGTTCCTACGCTTGTATCTGTGCGACCGTCGCTACTCTGTGAGGGATAACTTCCTGCGACTTTCTGTTCCGTGTTTTCCGCCGAACATTGATCGATGTATCCGAACAATAGAGTATTCCGATTTTTATCGATGACGGAATTGCCGTTGCGGAATTATGATCTGTAAAGTGGGCCATTGTTTCTATCGTGTTGCGCGACGGTGATTTGTATAGGAAGTGCCATTGTGATCTGGTAATAATCTGAGTAAGAAATTTACTAATTGTACGGTGATAATTTGATATAAATAACGAATTCGATAGTAATGCGATAATAATCTGATAATAAGAATAGAAGATTCAATAGTAATTCAATAACACTAACGATAACTTAACACGTTTCGTGCCACGGAAATTTTGTTTTGCTTATGAACTGTATTGATTTTTTAAATAAAATATTAAGTTATATTCAAGTTTATTTTAAATTTTATATATTTTGATATCGTTTCATGTTTTCGGTGCTTTGTAACGTATACAGCTATTCTTGACTATGTGTCCCTTAAAAATTTGTTACAAAATTAACGTGTACCACATGTGGTACACGTGGCTCTGAACGTGTTAAACGAGACATGTGCATCAGAATTTCATATTCCAAATATTACGTCGTTCCAATGGAACATCAGATTTTCTAAAAAAATATTTCCTACATATATGCCATAAAAGTCACGCAGCTCAGTCCCCTCGAAGCCGTTAAAAGATTTATATTGCCGGAAGCGCGGCTGATATTTCCCCGCGAACGGATCGCAGGAATCGTCGGAAGGGCGGCCTATAAATATCGGTCGGAGAAAAAAAGTGTGTTCCGCGGACGAGTCACTTGAAAAACGATTTAGGTCGCGACGGTCTTGTTTCGCGGGCGTGAAAAATATCGCGACGCCGCTCGGAGTGCGCGTCCGTCGACTCGTTTCCCGGTTGAAACGTGATATTCCGCTGGCGGAACGGCGAGGGCTTAGCTGCCGAATTTCGGCGAGCAAGTTCGAGCCGTCGGCATCAATCTTGATAGTATTCGGCACGGACTCGCGTCGATGAGTAATCCTAAACCGCCAAACAAACTTCTGACCCGTCTCGGATGCCAGGCCACTCCCTTTCCCGGCCGCGCGCGTTTTAGCGTCGCTGTGTAAAGCGAGGCTGAAATTGCTCGGTAAAATCACTGGAAGATAGCTCCCTGCCTGATAGTGTTTCGCCACGACCCTCAGAATCGATGGAATTTTGATAGGGGTGTCGCACAGTGGGGTATGCGCCCGATCAAGCCAGTCAAAAGGACATTCTAAAAATTTTATCTAAACTGAAATGTTTTTGCTGCTTGAGATAGTTGAATATGTGAAGAACAATGTCCTGCAAAGTTTTTTTAATATATTATTTATAATGTGTTATAAACCTCGGCCTGACAGGGTAGCCCCACCTCCTTCAAAATGAGCGTCGGCCTCTGGCAAGTTAGTTACTCCCTTTGTGTGATTGGCTTACTTAAGTAGCTAGGTGCCTAAAAGCTAGGTAGCTAAGTAGCTAAGTAGCTAATTAGCTAAGTGGCTAAGTAGCTAGGTAGCTAAGTACATAGATAGCTAAGTAACTATTTAGCTAGGTAGCTAAGTACATAGATAGCTAAGTAGCTATTTAGCTAGGTAGCTAAGTCCACAGATAGCTAAGTAGCTAGATAGGTAGGTAGCTAGGTAGCTAAGTAGATAAGTACCTAGGTGACTAGGTAGCTAAGTACCTAGGTAGCTAGATAGCTAGGTAGCTAAGTAGCTAGGTACCTAGGTGACTAGGTAGCTAAGTACCTAGGTAGCTAGATAGCTAGATGACTAGGTAGCTAAGTACCTAGGTAGCTAGATAGCAAGGTAGCTAGGTAGCTAAGTAGCTAGGTGGCTAGGTGGCTAGGTAGCTAAGTAGCTAGGTACCTAGGTGGCTAAGTAGCTAGGTAGCTAAGGAGCTAGTTGTCTAAGACCTATGTTTGTCAGTCATTGACCAGACAAAGAAACAGGTAATAAATTGAGAGAATATATTAACACAACATGGATGATTGAAAGCTGGCGTCATTTGCTATGATAGTTCCTATATTGGTTACAAGTCACTAAGTAAAAGTGGCTAGTCATTGATCAAACAAATGAATTGTATAGACCAATGTTTCATAGGATAGATTGACTGTAATGTTGTCTGACAGGTAGGCCACTTCGTCCCTATAATCAAGCAAATAGATTCTGTAGCACGAGACGAATGTAAATCTAAAATGTTGAAAATTAAGTAGGCTATTCTTATCTTCGATCATACTAACGTAGTTTCACTAATTCCATCATCCCAGAACTGAATCCGTAATAACAACCAGTGTATCTAAAAGATAATGAATACTTTTTCAAATAATTATCGGTAATTTTTCAAACTGCATACAAATACGATAAAAATGAGTAATTCACGGAATATCGGTATGCGATTCGTAGGGAGCGTTTATCGAGTCGCGTGAAAACTTCTACACCTGTTGATATATGCACTGCCACGGTGGGATTAAAGCGATTCAGAGTCCTAGTAGCTTTGTCGGAACGGGGCGAGAAACAATCGCGTGAAATGTCAAACGTGACTGGCAAACACGCGAGACGCATTCCTTTGAACCCGGCAACCGGGCCTGATCGATTTAATATCGACCTGTTCCACTTACTAATCGCCTCCTACCGAAGTCATCGCAATTTTCTCGGAATCATTCATTGAATTTCTACGTCACAGACGAAGTTAACACGCTAACTGCCACTGTTCTTCCTGTAGCATACAGACAGGAAGAATTATTTATTATTTGGTATCACAATTACGTTACATTGTTATCTAGTAATATACGCTTTCATTCGACATCACTTCTCCTTCAAGTTATAATTATTTCCTTGTCATTTAGAACCTTCGATCACCGATGTGGCGGTGAACGTGTCAATAAGTGGGAAACCCAGCAGTGAACAAGAAATCTTCGTTCGAACAAAAGGGCAGGCTTAATAACGACAGAGATCGAACGCTCGGGTTTTCTTGATGGAAATTCATTAACTAATTAAATTCAACTGGCAACGAATTAATATAGTCGAAAAACGAGGAACGCTCGCGTCACAAGGATCTTCGTTTACACGTGCAACACGTGTAACGAGGCGAAGTGGGTCACGTGAAGCAATCAGTTTAGACCTTCTAATTGAACGCACAGTACCTTCAAATTAGCTACGAAATTAATGTCGCTTCCTATACCGCAAGTGCCGCCTATTTCTCAAGTTAATTTGCGGCAGAAATTACGTATCGCGTTTCGTGGAAAAATAATTTAATATTCCGGTGAACTGGGGCCAATGGATGGGCGCACAGCCGTGTAGCCATTAATTATGATACATCAATTATCAGGGAAGAAATCATTAAAAAGGGAATGCGAGATACAGAAATTATCAGCAACATTCCGCGTTAATAAAATTATTATGAATATCATTAAAATTTAAAAAATTATCAAAATCTATTTTCATCCATCGCAAAATATTTTAATTCTTTAGTGAAAATTCATCCACGAAGTTATTAATTATGATATATCAGTTATCGGAGGAGAAATAATTTAGAAAATAATACGGGACCGTCAGTAAAAGTCTAGTTGACAAAATCGAACAACAAACAACACTATGGAAGACGGAGAAGTTATTGACGCGTACTCTTCTCTTCGAGCAAAGGGGAAAAAGAGTCAACGACGCAGAAACGTTCGCTGGCGTTCGCGAGGCGGCGGGGGTGCAGGGGGTCGCCCGACCAAAACGAGGGTCTCGATGACGGACAGAAACACTCACACGTGTCACTGAAACCGAATGTCCGCCTCTGTTCGTGATGGCTTGTTAAATTGTTTATTATATACACGTCTCGTCTGGAGAAAATAAAACAGCCGAGAAAACCTTGCTGATCGATGGTGTACACTCGAGCGATGTCACATAGGAAACTTCAGGTCTTACTCGTCGTTGACTAATCCTCCATCGAATTCACTTCGTCACTGATCGAACATGATTTTACCCTACCAGTATATTAATATATACACAATAATATAAGAAATAACCTCAACCCAACAAAACTCAAACCTACGTACCAAACCTCCCAAGTTAAACACGATGCGAAAATACCAACCACAAATTAACAAACTCAATTATAAGCCTCGCCCGATGAACCAAAACACATCGATCCAAAACGAATGATTCACTCGTCCCTCGATAACAATCGACCCTACAGGATCAAATTTATGCGACGGTGCCAGCTACATACGTCTCGAACGGTAAACACAGGCTCAAGGGGATGACTAACGAGTCACTGACACTGTTGCGTGAGGTTACGCGCTATTTATGCCGCAAACAGTCCGGGGTAACCGAAATTCCGCCGCGTAGCCGGACGGAGAGCCCATCGAATCTTATATTCCAACGATCGGAACGCTCATCGATCCAATCGTCGATCGAGGATGCGATATCGCAACAGCCATCGGCTCTATTGATCGGCAATGTCAACGCACACCAGCGCGCGGGGCGGCGTAGACACACGCGAGGAGGGTTCGTTTCCTTCGCCGGACAAAGCACGCAGATCGAGTCGCGATATCCTTTGTTTTTACACGAGGACCGCGCTCGTCGTCCTGCGCACCGATCGGCGACGCGTTTTTAGGGAATTATTGCTACTCACTGATCAAGCGTGTCCGTGGACCTCGTCGCGGATATTTCCTCGGTTCTTCGAAATCCGGCTGGTCAGCTTCGCGAACACTTGCACGGGGTGTCGGTGTTAGACGGCCATGTTGTTGGATTTTCAGCGCCCTCTGCTCGACACCCGGCGAACCCTCGATCCCTACCCTCACAACGCTACTCGCCACCCTCCATTTGTTTCCCACCTCTCGAGACTGTACGCCGTGTCACACTTTCGCGCGTTTCGAGAACCCGGTGCCATTTTGCGCCGACCAACGTCCCTCCGCGCTTTGGCTGTCGCCTCGGCAGTACGTAGGAAAATTTTCCTTTCCAGGGAGAGACTCATGTATTGCGTGCTGGAAACGGGAAATCGAAGCTTTTATTCGAGCCTTTGTAAGTTTTCCAACTGCGACACCGGTTAGGAGATATTACGTTCGATTGGAACTACTTCTTTAACCCTTTGCAGTCGAGAGGCGCCTTTCAGTCGCCATTTAATTTGATCCATGGAAATGATAAAATTTTAAATTCAGTGTTGAATTTTTCTATAATGCAACACATGGGACTAAAATAGTTCTGGTACTTAATTTGAGCAAGGTGTTTCTTTATGTTAGTTATGAAACGTATCATTGATATTTCATTAGAAAATAATGAATATTTGTCGAGAAAAATATTCTCGTACAAAGGGTTAATATTTATGGAACAATAACAAGATATGCGAATATTTTGCAAACTACCGAGCAGTTGAATTGACTTTTTAACTGCGATAAACGCGTCGTTCCATTTTCAACCGAAAAATTGTTCGACGTTGAATTGACCGTAGATTTCGAATGAAAATTGTTTAATTCGATTCAACGTATTGCGAAATAAGAGCGATATATTCATGAAGATTCTCAGTTTCCAAAGAATATTTTTTCAGCCTCGAAGACACAGACTTTCCGTTCGCAGTTCCAACTTTCCTGTTCCCCTATCATTGCTTCGTTTCAAGAAAAATTGTTTCGAAGTCAGCCGCGCGATGCGAAAGCTCCACCGGCGATGCTTTCGACGGACAGTTTTGATGACTGTGCTCGACAGCGTCCCGCGGGAGTGACCCTCAAAACTTTCCCCCATAGTTTCCACTCATTCAACGGAGAAGACGGAGGAACGGCTGAACGTCTGCTTGACGAAATATCGGCCATGAAATATGGATAAAGGGAAGCGATTTCTGTATGCGTGTGTTCCTTCCTCCGAAACTTCCTCCCGAAAGAGACGGCTCGGCCGAAATGCTGATGCTCTCTTATCTCGCGTGGGAATTGCGTATAAAATCAAGGAACGAAGGCGATTTACGTGCACGCGTCTTGATTTCCCTTCGAAATCTTCTTCGAGACGAAACGATTCAGAAGGAAATCCCGATCGTTTTTATTTCACTTCGATTCTGCATACAAAATGAAAGGACCGTACTGATTTCTATATCCACGATTTCTTTTTCGAAACTTTCTCTTGTGAGAAAAATTGAAACAAAAAGAGATGATACTTCTCGTTTATTTCGAACGAAAATCGGAGTGTCGAAGGACAATTCGTAGGAACGCCACACGTACGAGGGATGCCCGTTTAACGGCGAAGATGGCGTATTTAAAAGGCCTCGTGCAAAACGTCCCCGGATCTGTATTATACATCGAAGCCACGTAACTTTCGGAATATTCAGCGGCAGCTTAAATTATACGGCTTTCAAATGACGCGCCCGCATTTCCCTACCTGTTTTCCCTTCAGAATTTTCTTCGGCGCCGCGCGGAGAAGTCTCAAGATATCCCCACCGCCGGGGACCGTGTCAATGAATACGTACTTTTAATTAAAACCTCGCGCGTTTTAATTAAAAAATAAAAAAACACCCAGTCGGAAGGGCGGAGAAAAGGGAAACCGCCGGCGTAGCTTATTTAAAAGTGAATTAATACCCGGACACGGAGTTTGGCTCGACATCCTTCAAGATGGCGCGGGGAGAAAAGGTGGACGCGTTCCTTCGAACGCGAGAGCATTATATTAGATCGCCGTGAACTCGAATGCGACGGTTCGCGCTCAATAACGTCGGAATAAGAGAATTTTCGTGAATGTAAACGGATAGTAACTCATCCGCGTCGCCTCTTGAAGGGCGGATAAATTTATTCACGCGACATTTTGCTGGGAGGATCGTCGCAATACGAACGCGCCGTTGCCGCGGAGGAAATGTGAGCTGTTTTCAATGCTCGCCGGTGGTTCGCTTCGATGTTGCGTTACTTTCAAGCCCCTGCGCGTCGAATGTGAGTCGATGTTTCCTTCGCACGCAATTCTTCGATCGGACGCGTGTTGTTTATAGTTCAAGTATTGTTCATGGAGTGAATGGGATAGAAATCAGTTTTTATTAAATGTAGTAGTGATAGTAATATAGGAACGTAAGTAAATATTTTGCAACGAGACTTGTGTCTTATTTATAGTAAATATTGCATAGGGAAATTAATTTCTGGTTGTAAATTATATTAGATTTCATATGTTACAATTTAATTGAAAATTATTGCCTGGTTCGAAGTTATATGAAATTTAATGCGTTAGAATTTGATAAGTTAGTAGTAATTGAGACACTCGATTTTTATAGACGTATGTGAGAAATTTAAGTAGACAGTTTTAATTGACACCCTGAGCGTACGAGCACAGCGATCCCAATTCCCCAGCCGTAATCAACACACGCCAACCAACCCAAATCCAACGCGCAAACAGCAAATGATAAAAACTGAGCTAGTTGATACTTATGTATAATTAATCCCACCGGTGTCACGTACAAGGTACTTACTCGGGAAGACTGGAGCGAACTTCACGGAGGAAAAAAACACAAGCGGAAAGGGTTGGTTGTCGCTCCACTCGGATACTCGTTCCAGCAGCAACGAGTAGTCAGAAAGTTTTTCGGGGAATTCCGTTTCCTCCGGAGATAGAGAGCGGAAAGGAAACAAAAATAGGGTAACGGGAAAAAGGGGGAATAAAGATCAGAGGATACTGGGAAACGGAGGAAAAGTAACAGAAATACAGTGAAGGATAGAGAGGAGAGGAGAATAAAATAGCAGAGAGACGAACGAATAGAGTAACAAAGCAGAAGAGGGAGAAAAGAAGGAAAAAGAGAGTGACGGAAAAGGGAAAATAGAAATGAGAGCATACTAGAGAATGGAGAAAAAGTAACAAAAATACAGTGAATGTTAGAGAGAGGAGACAATACAATAGCAGAGAGACGAACTAATAGAGTAATAAAACAGAAGAGAGACAAAAGGAGGGAAAAGAGAGTACAGCGAAAGGAAAAATAGAAATCAGAGAATATTAGAAAAGGAGAAAAGAACAAAGAGACAGTGAAAGAGAGAAGAGAGCAAAAATAGCAGAGAAATGAACGGATGGAGTAACAAAGAAGAAGAGAGACAAAGAAAGGATAAAGAGAAAATAGAAATGAGAGAATACTAGAAAATGGAGAAAAAGTAATAAAAATATAGTGAATATTAGAGAGAGGAGAAAATACAATAGTAGAGAGACGAACGAATAGAGTAAAGAAGCAGAAGAGAGACGAAAGAAAGAAAAAGAGAGTAACAGAAAAAAGAAAATAGAAATGAGAAAATACTAGAAAAGGAGAAGAAAAGAACGAAGAGACAGCGAAAGAAAGGAGAGAACTAAAATAGCAGAAAAACGAGCAAACGGAGTAACAGAAAAGCAACGAGAAAAGACAAATAGACAAGAACAGAAGAAAAATTGTACGGAATGACAGTGAGAGAAGGAAAGAGAATAAAACGAAAAAAAAGAACAGAGTAACAGAGAAAAGGAAAAGGAAAAAGACAGCAGGGTAAGCAGAGAGAAAGAGAGAAGCGGTCGAGTGGCCGGAAGTGGTTGCTCCTCGAGTGCCCTTCCGGGTTGTTATAATTAATACGACCTCATCGATC